TAGTGCTGACGAGTGGTGCGGGTGTTTGTGATGGTTAGCGAGCATTACGTCGACCCCTGCATTGCGTCGGCAACGCAGCCAATGGGCTGTGGGCTTGTGTTTGGCCACACCTTTGACGCTATGCCTCATCGCAGCGCCTCATCGATCCCTACGCTATACTAAGTTCCCATTGAATTGCATTCAAAAACATTTACTTCGCGAACAAACTGTTTGGCAAAATCGCCGCTAAAGTGGTCGCCACAGCCGTAGCCGAAGTCAGTTCAACTCGTGTTAGACTCGCCGAGCGTTTGGTGTATTGGTTGGTGAGTGTTGTGTCGAGTGGTCGGAAGCGTTGGGAAGTGTTTGGGTGATCGGTGTTGAGAGTTGTGTGACGTCAGGTGTAGAGGCAGTGCGAGTGTGGAGAGTGTGAGCGGTGTTTGCTTTTTGGTGAAGCGCTTGTGTGGAGGCATTGGTTGCCAATACTTAACAGGCATTACAGGCCCTAAGCGTACAGTCATAGCAGTCATAGACAGTGAATGCGTTTGTGTTGAGAGCGAGTGTTGTGTTGAGTCGTTGTGTCTGTCGTTTCAAATCCATTCCCTTCTCTATCGTTGCGAACAAATATTCAAAAATTCAAACCTTTCTCTGCAGTGAAAACTGAAGCATACATTCAATTCAATTCTTCACCTCAATATCCCATCGAAAGCATTGCAACTAATCTTCAATTGTTATAATGGTATGTGTTTTACATGTTTTGATTGTTTGACTCAATTGTAATGATTAGTGATTAGCGATAGAAACGTAAGAATCGGTTATTTATTGATTGAACGAAAGCCGCATTCAAAACGAGTCAATCGCTTCACTCTTAAGACATGCCTTTTATATAACTATTATTATTACTNGTTTTACATGTTTTGATTGTTTGACTCAATTGTAATGATTAGTGATTAGCGATAGAAACGTAAGAATCGGTTATTTATTGATTGAACGAAAGCCGCATTCAAAACGAGTCAATCGCTTCACTCTTAAGACATGCCTTTTATATAACTATTATTATTACTTATATTACATAATATAATATAAATACTGCCTTTTCATCACAATTCACACCATTTCTCTCATTTGATGCATATTTGTGACACAATTTGATGAATAATTAATGAATTGATTGATTGATTGATAGGCCGACCAATTAACTGAAGAACAAATCGCTGGTCAGTATTGATAATAATGGATATAATCTGAATGTGTAGTGAATGTGAGAACTGATTGTTTGCTATTTTGTGATTGTATGCAGAATTCAAGGAAGCGTTCTCACTGTTCGACAAAGACGGTGACGGAACCATTACCACCAAAGAGTTGGGAACTGTTATGCGATCATTGGGTCAGAATCCCACAGAAGCCGAGCTGCAGGACATGATCAATGAGGTGGACGCGGACGGCAACGGGACCATCGATTTCCCTGAATTCCTAACAATGATGGCCCGGAAGATGAAGGACACCGACTCCGAAGAGGAGATCAGAGAAGCGTTTCGGGTGTTCGACAAAGACGGCAATGGATTCATTAGTGCCGCAGAACTCCGTCACGTAATGACTAATTTGGGCGAAAAGCTAACCGACGAAGAGGTCGATGAGATGATCAGAGAGGCCGACATCGATGGCGACGGACAAGTCAACTATGAAGGTATGGATTAGTGTTTGTAATTGTCTTGTAATGCGGATAATGAAAAGGGATTAAGAATAGGGAATGTTGTGGTAATGTATTTATATGTGTTTTCGTTTTGTTTGGTTCCGTATCTTAGAGTTCGTAACAATGATGACATCTAAATGAAGAGTCACTCAATGGATTCATACAAATGGATCTGTAATTTATAATTAAATTCATTAAACAATTGTAAACATTATTTGAAGAAAAAACAAAACCAAAACAAAATTGAATGAAAAATATGAAAACCAATTGATTTTAGAAAGTTTTAAAGGTTTAAAAGATATTAATATTCTTTTTACTCATATATGATATAATAATATTGTTCTTAAGATTAATCCGAAAAATTGATAAAACAGTTTGTCTTTGAATTTGCAAAAATTGTTGGATTTTATCTCTCACTAAACGACTTATACATTGAAAAACTCACAAATCGTATTCATAAACCATTTTATCTCTAATTAATCAAACGTTTGTGAAGTGCAGTTCCGATCACTTATTATATTATTATTATTATAATTATTCTATTCTTTTGTACTATAAATCTATAAATTGAATTAAAGGTGTGTTTTGTCTCTAATATACGATTATCTCAATTGCTATGATATTACAAATTATATATAAATATATATAAACGGTATTAAAACACTTAATACTATATAAATATATTCCGTAAAATATTTCTTAACATTTATTTCTTCTTTCAAATAAAAACTTTAAAAACAGTTAAATCTTTAAAATCAATCGATTGTTTATTTTATAATTTCGTATTTAATTAAACTATTTTTGAAACAAATTTCTGTTTTAATCAATTGATTGAAAAAACTATTACTATTTATTATTTGATATTTGCAATTATAATTAAAATAAAGTTTTATTACAACCAAACAATGATTGTACAAAAGGTAAGAAATCATATTCAGTACTATTTGATTAGTATTGAACATAAAAATATTTCTTCAATGACTTTAATTGCTGTAAATCTAAGCAATGATTATTTGAACGGAATTTGTTATATTAAAAATATACAGTAATGTCATTAAAAAAAATTACCGACAAAACAATTACTGACTTATATTTTGCTGAAAGGAAAGCGTATATCGTTTTGCATATTTTATATCATCTGTTTTTCTCGATCATTGCTTTGACTTTGAAATTATAATTTGAACATTAGATCAATAAGTATTGAATTGAAATGAATTTTCCATTTAATGATTCATATATTTAGTGAAAACTATTGAACATTACGTTAGAAATGATAAAAAAGACATTTGAAAAATTAAAACCATTCAACTGTAAAATATTTGGATTTCAACACAACATAACACTACAAATAATTGATAACAAATCTATTTGAAAAATATTTTTTCCTCTATTATTAGGACAATTCACGTCTGATTACTACCAAAATATACTTTTATAATCAGATTTTATTTCAAATCAAGTTTAATTTACTTAATTTATAATGAATTAAAATTATTCGTCAAAAAATAGAAACTTTTTGATATTATTAGCTGTAATTTAATGACTTGTTTTGCATTATTAATAGTTTTTGTATACATTGTACATTGATATGAAAAAATATTTTTTAATTTACTTTTTTAATTATTGATTCATTAAGATAATTGACTTAAAATTAAATATTTATGGCATTTATATCATCAGCCGAGAGATGGTTTCAATTTATAAAATTAAAATGTAACTAATTTTGAATTATTTTCTTTTTTTTATTCATTGTTAGCATATATAGGAATATAACATGAATTGAAAATATAATAAAATCACTTAAATTGTAACTCATTTTCAATGAAAGTGAAGGCATTTATATTATATAGAAATTTACAATTGATTGATNTTTTTTTATTCATTGTTAGCATATATAGGAATATAACATGAATTGAAAATATAATAAAATCACTTAAATTGTAACTCATTTTCAATGAAAGTGAAGGCATTTATATTATATAGAAATTTACAATTGATTGATAGTTAACTACAAATGTTTTTTTCTAAATCCTTTTGTGGTTTGATAACTGAATGGTGTGTTATTTGATAGAGTAAATTGAATAAAGGTCATTTTCACCTACATTTCAATTATAATTATTGTAAATAATTTGATAGTAAATGTTTGGTGAGAAATGATATAAGAATTTATATATCATTTCCAAGTTTTTGTTGAAATCGTAGACCAATTCCACTAACGATTAGATATGATATTACTTTTACAACCATTGAGTCAAATATCGTACGGAATTTGTTGGTGTAATAAATTGTAAAAACACTTAATTGACTAATTGTTATGAAATTCATATATAAATAAGGTTTAAATTAAATAATTATATCGTTTAGCAAATGAATCGAAACGCAAATATATGAGAAAATTAGCGATTTTTATAAATAATTGAATTTTCAACAAAAATCAATAAATTTGAGGTTAAGTTTGGGTTAAGTTTTTTTTGTTGTTATTCATGCGAAGAGGTCTTGAAGTGAAAGTAAATATCAGTAGGAATGATGAGTAAAGCCTTGAAGTATAAAAAAAATTATCTTAAAAGCACAAAACAAGTTGCTTTAAATCATGTAAAAATTGTAAATAAATGAGATAGAACATTGTTTAATATTATTCACAGGAATAAACAATAGTTAATTAAATTATCTTAATATTTTGAAATTGATTGGAAATTGGAGATAGTTAACATTACCGATTATTTGCAGGTTATATGTTAAATTTAATCATAGACGATATATTTAATTTAAATAGTCTAAATTTCAGTCATTGTTTGGTCGACAAATTGTTACGAGTTAATACATTGTTTGTTAATATATTACATTAGGCCTAAAAATGGTTTACTTAAACATCAAGACTCTAATGATGAGAGCCCTGTGCGAGAGGATGAGCCCAGAATTGCATTTCTTAATTAGTTATACAGTAGTATTGGTGGCACTAATGAAGGCTAAATCTTATATACAAATTAGGAAAAAGAGTTTGACTTTTATTCTCATTTCAATTACAAAATGCAATGAATTGAATAAAATTGTTAAACATTTAGTTATCGTATTTAACGATTGAGATAAACAATTACAAACACATCCACACATCCAAACACTTGCCATTCAGTAATTAATTGAATTTCATAGACATATTCAACGCATATCTGACAAAACACTTTTGAATTTTGCCGAAACTATCATTTCATATCTTTATTTCAAATTTAATAATTTATTTTCAAAATACTGTCTTTTTATTAATGATTTCATAAATTATTTCATATGAAAAAAGGCAAACAATTTATTAGAAATTATTTTTATTTTTAATGATGTTTTCCAATGAAATATAAATATAATAACAATGAAAATAATGAATAAAAAACTAGTGAAATGTGGGCAACAATGAGAGAGCAATCACTAAAAACTGGCCAAAACACTGAAGAAGTGGTAAACTTCTTCGGAGTCGTAAACAGCGACCCGAGTGTTGCAAACCGTACAGAAGACCGCGTAATAGTTGTCCACTTTATGGCACTTCTCGTCATTCGTTTGATCCGTCGTTTCATTTCGTTTCCGTTTTTGACTTTTTTGTTTGTCTTTGTATTGAAGTCTTTGAGTGAAATCAATGCGACAATTGGTGGCAAACATAGCTCTGTATTGAGTTCTGTATATGTCGTGCCGCTGACAGTCCCGACAAAGCACTGTCAGACACGCGGGACAGTTCAGTGTGGCATCGCTTCGGCCATCGGTGGCCACACCAGTGGTCGCCGACTCCCTGTCCACCCATTTCTGGTCCTTTTCATCGGATTGCGGATCGTATAAGAGTTCATCGTTTTTGGCCTCATTTACGTCCGTCTGATTGGCAACACTTCCATCGGTCACAGCATTGGATGTGTTGGAAGTGATGGCAGTGTTGTGTCGATTGACTCGTTGCTGTCTTTCTCTCTCCATTTCTGTCTCAAAGTCTTCCTCCGAGTCGTCGAAAGTGAAGAGTGATCTGAAATCTTCGTCATCACTGCTGACCAATCAAATGAAAACAATGTGTTATGAAATGATCACTCAATGGATGTGTTGGTGACACAAACCTGCTGTCGACGGCCTCTCTATCGGACAACTCTTCGACACAATAGTAATCATCCATTCATTCAATTAATTCATTCATTATTTTGATCACAATTTTGAACGTAATTGTAATGAATGAGAGCTCAAGTGATCCAATGGTTCCCTCTATTGACTACTTTCTCAACCCTTATATTTAAATCTATTTAAAACTTATGACTTTTGACTTAAAACTTATTTAAAATAATATAATTAAAAATTAAGTTAAAACATAAATAATTATTAATGATTATTTCCATAACCATTGGTAACAATTGATTATTAAATATATTTTAGTGAACAAAGAGTGCAAATGACCAGAAAAAGTGAAAGTATATTAATATTTAGCATATTTCAAGTCATATTACAGTAAATTACATGTTATAGTAGTTAATGGATTCATCAAATGGTAATTCACACAAACATTGGCCAATCACCAGAAGGCATACTTACTTTATAAAATTGTATATTTTATAAACTATTTGAATGCCGTAATAATAATACAAATCATTGTTTCTCTATTTAATATCTATTTATTGATTATTAATAATAAAATATTTACAAAAACACATCTATTTTTAAACATTCACTTAATGAATGTTTTTATTCAAATTTGATTCAATTTCTGACTTCTGGTCCAATTGTGTGTGAATTTGTTGATTGAATTGATCCATGAATTGCAATGAATTGAGTTTTTGAGCTCTTTCTCGAAGAATAGACAGCGTATAGGAATTGATATTCAATTGTTTTGGTACTGAAATGCCTTGAAATCGATAGACTGTTCCCAAACGAGTGGCCATCGGATGGATTGCCGTCACGTGAATGGAGCCAACCTGTGATGTGTTGGCAATCATTGGACCGCCACTGATGTCGATGTGGTCTTTGACGCGATAGAGTGTCACCGAATCGGAACCATTAGTCTTAGCGATCGAATCGATTTGTTCTCTTTTAATGGAGTTGTGTTCAAACATCTGTTTCGCCAACTCTTTGTTCG